GGCGCCACACGGGCAGGGACACGGCACGGCAGAAATCAGAACCGGCATTAGTTACCACGGCGCCGGGTGCACGGGGGAGGCTCCGCCAAGCTGCGTCCCAACTATCCCAACTTTTTACTGTTTATTCATTTCAGAGGACAAAGAAATTGGCACTCATTGGTCACAAGTTACCTAACTCTTATTAATTAGTGTTCTGTTCTCTGTTGGTCAGTGGTTCTCTCTTCTGCTAATTAGTCCCCTTTTGAGTCGGTGGCTTCTTGGGGGTCTCCCATGGGGGCTTTGGATGGTCTCTGGTGGTCCCTTGGGGTTGTTGAAAGATGTCCACTAGTGTCCTTTCCATGAGCTATGAGTCTTCCGTCCATATATGGTCTTGGCTCAGCTCATCACTTCGTTTGCAGATTATCAAGTTCCTTATCTTGGTTGACTTTGCTGGCTCCTCTGCACTGCTCCACGATGAGCTGGTCAGAGGTGCAAGAATTTATGTCCTTGAGTGCATTCTTGCCCTAGGGCCCGTACAACTTCCCCTTTGAGACTCAGGCAGTTAGTCTTAGATACCTAAGTTCTTTTAGCTACCTTGCTAATTCTGCACCAATTAACACTACTCTGCTAATTTTGTGGCATAGTGAAGAACTCTGAATCACGTTCTGAAGGAGAAAGTAGCATAACTATTTGAAAGTAATATATGACAAGAAAAGGATGCAAATGGTACAAAGCTGTAAACAATGTCATCTGAGGCATGTTTATTTTCCTTTCTGTGCATTCTAGTGTCTTATAAAGCAGTTGATTCCTGCAAAGCCCCAGAAGGAGTTAAATATGTGATACCAAAGGGTTAAGCTAGAAACAGGGAGCTGTGCTCTTAGATCCCTGTTTCTTTAACCTGCTGGTATCACCAGGCTGGCCCAGATGGAGCTGTTGTGTGGCATCAGGTCCCACTCACCACCACCTTTTGCTGCTGCCTGCAGGGACCCACTGCCCTCACCTTGCTGTTTGCCCTGCCAGCAGGCACACCACAGCTAAGGGGCTGGGCCAGGGCCTGTCACCCCATGTAGAGGGTCCCCAGCAGGTGCCCTAGCACAGGGAGGGAGCAGCACTGCATTGCAGTGCTGTAGCACTGTGGGGTATAGAGTTTTGCTTCAGCCAGTTTACTTTGTAAGCCTGACTTGGGTGTATGGAGCACTGTGCAGTTCAATAACAGGTACTGCACCTGTGTACCAGCCTTTCTTTCTGTGGTTTGCATTTTTGCTTCTCAGACATTGCTGTGGAGGCAAAGACAGAAAAAACTGTCACCTAGAAAAGTTCAGGTATTGTTTCAGTTATGCTTACAGGTGGTATCGTGAATAGTACTCCTCCCATATGGGGCAGGGTCTGTGTTGTCCACATTAAAGATTTTCTGCCAAAATGTCAGATCAGTGGTGCAAACTAGGCAGCCAAGGAAGAATGTGAGGTCCAAGTACCCAACCGATGGGGAAACTACCCAAGGAATCATACGATCGGGATAGGTTATAAAAGGTTCAAGTTTTGGAGGCACCTGACTCAGCTGACTCGTGTTATGAATAAAATAAGGTTCTTTTTGCTTCAATGATTTGATCTTCTCTTAAAATATATCTGTGAGCAGCTGTTTCTCACAGCAGTGCTCTCCCGTGGCTGCAGCTGGTGGAAGAGCAGCTCAGATCTTCTGATCTGTGAGCCAGCACTGGGCTGCCTGTGTTACCTGCCTGTGTTTCCTGCATCAGGCTCACAGCTGTTAAAAAGGGAGCCTAGTTTTATCATGGAGATGTCCAAAAGAACCCTGTGCCATGCAACATCTCCGTGTTTAATGGTCTTTAACGTGAAAAAGGGCATTAGTGCAGACAGGCTCCCACAGAGAGGTATTTGGAACCTAAAATGGCAGCATCCTTTCCCTCTCAGTGATGTTCTTTCTGGTTTATAGCTTTGATTTCATTGTTTTCTATTATCCATATTGCCCCTAACTCATATTATGGGTCTGACTTTATGGCCAAACTAAAACATCTTTGGATTTTTCTTAACAGGGACTCTTTCTTTTGTGAAATTTCCCCCCCGCTGTTAATGTTACCTAAGATTAGATAAAATATTTTTGCTGCTCATTCGTACAGAGTTATTCATTTTCCAATTCTATTTTCCTGGTGGCTGAGCTTGCAAGTGTTGCTTGCTCTCAGTGGGATTTCTTAGTAAAGTAATTCATGTTCTGTGGATTTTAAGTGGACAGGACCTACCCAAGCAACAGATGCTTTGGGTTGCTGGAGGAAACATGGGTCCAGGGAAGGAATTTGTTGCATTAGTGTGGTAGCAGATGCAACTCTAGCCAGAAAGAATCCTAGGTCAGGGTCTTATTGAGCATTGGTTGGAAAGTTCTGATCTGGAAAGGGGCTTAAGAAGTATGGCTGTAGAGTTAAGGGTGAATTGATAGCAGCTGTGAAACAGAACACTGAACTAAGAGAAAGAGGGCAAATAAGAAGGGAGGGAGCTGGCACAAAATGTGAAATGTGCATCTTGATTTTAAGGAGTCCCCAGGTCCTTGGGGTTTGGATCCAGACTTCTGCTGGGCCCTGTAAAGACCTGAAAGGTCATTGTCCTGTCTTGGCACTGGCTTTTGTTTCTCACAGAGTTTGGAAGAGTTCAGACATGAAGTCATGATACGGATTGCCTCTGAGGTTTAATAGCTCTGTAAAACTTTCCGGCTCAGGGAGCAGGATCAGTAGTTAGAGATCTCACACTGGTAATATCAGACAGTTTGTGGTAGGTCAGCAAGGGGAAATTTTACCAAAGACCACTGCCATTTGTTCAATAGAAGAGGGAGTACACAGGTCCCTGTGGTTTGCCAGGAATGCAGCATCCTGTTACCTGGCAGGCACTGGTGGAAAAGTCAATATGGGAGTTTTCACAGAAGAAATGGGAAAGCAGGAGGGAGAGAAAATGCTGCATTTGTGCAGTGCAGCTTAGTTACAATCTGCAGGTAAATATTTTGGAATTTTCTCCCATTTGGATATTTGATTTTACATTTTAAACAGTGCTAAATAGATTTCTTGCCCTAATTTCCTATAGCTTGCAAATTGTGTGTGTGTGTGTGTAGGACAAAGAATGAAAAGGAAAGATTACCTGCCCCAATCTGAAACCAGAAATTGCTCCCTCTTGCCACTTGATGTGACACTCGGACCTACCACACTAAGCCACAGTGTCACCAGGCAGTAAGAAAAATGTCTCTGCAGGCCTCT